GGGGGGGGAAATGCATAGCTGCTCCGGGGGGCCAAGGGGGGAGACGGACCGCTGCCAGCCCTCTCCTCTTCCTGGAGCAGTTCTCCCGGATCCCGGTCAGAGGAAGCTTGGAGGGGCTGTGGAAAGGCGTCAGTTCCAGCTTTAGGTCCATCTTGGACAGGCATCTAGATTAGCCTCCCCATTCCCTTTCCAGATGTGTTGGGACTGCAACACCCAGAATGCCCCAGCCCACATGACCTCCCAGCTAGCTGGGAATTCTGGGAGGTGCAGTCCCAGCGCGTTGGAGGGCACCACGTTGGGAAACTGGCCTCGGGCTTTGCATGGCTGCCGTGCAGCTCCTGGGGTTCAGTCCCCCCGTAATCTTCACCCCCTCTTCTTTTTACCCCCATGACAGAACCGCAGCTGAAAGGCATCATCACGAAGCTCTTCTGCCGGCACGGCTATTACCTCCAAGCGCGCCCGGACGGTGGCATCGAGGGCACGAGGGAGGACACCAACGGGTTCAGTAAGCCGCTTGCTGCTCGCCGCACCTCTCTGCGGGTCTCTACGGCCGGCTCCGGCGTCTGTCCTGCCTGTGGACAGACTGTGGGGCAGGAGGAGCGCCTGGGGACCCTCCCTTGGCCAGGGACCCTGCACCAGCTGCAGCTCAGCTGTGGCTGCCCCCCTCGGTGGCCGGCCATGGGGGGAGAAAGGGGACGGGTGGAGGGGCCCTCCTGGCCTCTGCCTTGGCACAGGGGGAGAAGGCTTCGATGCACCACTTGGGCCCAAAGGGGGGCCACCTCCAGCCTTGCCCTGAACCCCCCATTCCTTGCCTGCACCTTGCCGGGCTCCCTTTGGGCTCCCCTCCGGCTGGGGCTGTTGCCGGCTTCTTTAGTTGAGCCTGGAGCCCCTGGGGAAGCAGGACGGGCCCAGGATGGGTGACGCGCCTGTCCTGGTCGCCACCCGTTTCCAGCTGGCAGGCCAGTGTCTGTCCGGGCACGTGGCCCTTCCCCAGCAGCCTCCTGAAGACAAAGCGGCCGGTCCCCTGGCTGGCCGGCCAGCCACCCCCCTGCAGCTGCCTCGCGGCTCTGAACAGCCAGTCTTTAATGGAGTAAGCGCTTCTCCCCGGGGAAAACGCTGCCTCTCAACAGGGAGAGTGCACCTGGGCAAGGCCACTGCTCCAAGGGCTGGCTTGCCTCACCTCAGCCCTCCCACCAGCCACTGAGATCCACGGGGGTCAAAAGAGTCAAGATGGCAGCCACAGCCATGCGGTGGAAGCTGGGCCCCCTTTTTACATGCATGTTGCAGAGGGTTGGACTAGGTAATCCCTGGGGTCCCTTCCAGCTCCAGAACGTGGGGGCGATCCTGCCCCCCTCCTCCCAAGGAGCTGGAGAGAATTGGCTGGGTCCACTTCCTGCCTGGGCTGTTTGGCAGCGGCCCCCTCCTCAAAGACCCCCCTTCCCAAC